TCACTACGGAAGTAGATTGCCCCATCTTCCTTCCGAGGAGTGGCTGGTGGGTTTGAACCGCCAGCCTTCTGGTTAGCAGTCAGGTGCCTTAGCCACTGTGCTACCAGGGCTCCCAAATAAAAGATTAGTCATGATTAAATTTAAATGTGAAGGTTAAGTGGAAGAACTTTATAAATCTTAAAGCGATATACAATAGTGTCACAAGGACATGCTGATTTCCATTTTTACCTTTATTTTTAAAACAGACCTCAGAGAGCTAAGATGAGATTCTGGGCTAAAGGGAAACAAGGAGAGAAAAAGACATCCAGAGTGAAGCCTGCCACTCAGTCAGAGATGTCAAGACCTTTTGCTGGCTCAGATGTGCTTCCAGTTCATCAGTTTCCAGATGGTAAAAATGGGCAAAGGGTGGAGTTTGTCTTCATAAATCCTATTACTCTTTCTGAAAGTCTGCTATTCCTCCAGTATGTATAATGGCAATTTTGTTGGCTAGATATTCTAATAAGATAGAACCAGGATTGTTAAATCCTTCTTTAGCTAAATTATATAATTACATTATACTTACAATCAAAGTTCCAAGGAAATATGGCACAAAATGGTCACGCAACAAAAATTTCAAGAATGATTGTGAATTGTAGGTTAACTTCAGTTTTCTAAACTAAAATTTTAGCATCATTCATTCACTTAACAAATATATATTATTAATTATAATGTAGTAGCAAGTCTGCACATGCTTATTACTGTACTAAGCATATTATATGAATTGATTCAGTTGAGCCTCACAACAATCTTCTGAATGTTGGTATGATTTTTGGTGTCACTGAGTGGTGCAAATAATTAGCGTTCTCAATTGTTAACCAAAAGGTTGGATGTTTGCATCTACCCAGAGGCACCTTGGAATAATAACGTCTGCTTCTGAAATATTATCCATTGAAAACCCTATTAGAACACAGTTCTGTTCTGATCCAAATGGGGTCGGTCACCATGAGTCAGAATTAACTCAGTGAAAACTGGTGGTGGGGGGTGATTATTATTCCTCCTTTATAGATGTGAAACCTGAGACCCAGAGAAGATAATATATGCATATTATAAATGGCAGAGCTGAGATTTTAATCTAGGTGGTCTGAGTTCATAATTACTAATCACAGTAATTCGTAATTACTGTGCTGTATATTAAGTATCTGTTATATACCAGTGCCTAGCAGATACATGGCACTTTATATTGTTGTTAGTGGCTGTCCAGTCAATTCTGAGTCAAGGCCACCCCATGTGTGCATAGTAGGACTGCTTCATTGGATTTTCATGGTTGCTACCTTTCAGAAGCAAACCACCAGGCCTGTCTCCCAATGCCACTGAATGGGTTTGAACCACCAACTTTTTGGCTAATAATTGAGCACATTACTATTTGTGCCACCCAGGGATTCCTAGCACTTTGTAATGGTAGATATTATTTTAATTTTTAGGCATTAATCATAATACATTTTTAAGTACCCAGTACTTAGCTCATCTATTAAGAAAATTGGTTGTTCTAAATATTAGAATTACTAATTCTTCGAGGATACCAGTAATTTCCAGGTTTAGAGGATTACCCCATTTTTTCAAGCCCTTTGTTTGGGCCTGCATAAGAATTTTTAGTTACTATATAAAGAGGCTGGGAGCTCTGGTGGTGCAGTGCCTAAAGCATTTGACTGCTGACCAAAAGGCTGGAGGTTCAAACCCACCAGCCACTCCTCAGAAGGAAGGTTGGGCAATCTACTTCCGTAGTGATACCACTTCGGAAACCCAAGGAGCGGTCACTCTTAGTCGGACTCCACTCAACAGCAATGAGTGTATAAAGAGGCCAGCTGTCTTCAATAAGGGATATACATCAGAGAAGGTTATATAGTCATAAGTGAGTGAAATAGCAACCATGAATAAAATGGAAAAAGATCCTGAGAAGAAAACTATTATCTCTTAATGAAGGATAGAAAAGACTCAGTTACAATAAGTAAACAAAAACCGTTCATAGATAGCGTAACATAAAATGAAACAAGAAGAAAGATCAAGCTTTACGTAGTAATGAATGAGCTGGAGCAGTTGTTGTTAGGTGCTGTCAAGTTGTTTCCGACTCAGAGTGACCCTACGCACAGCAGAACAAAACACCACCTGGTCCTGTGCCAGCTCCGTGATCCTTGCTATTCTTGAGCCCATCATCACAGCCACTGTGTCAGTCCATCTCATTGAAGGCCTTCCCCTCTTTCATCGACCCTCCACCTTACCAACCATGATGTCCTTCTCCAGGGAATGGTCCCTTCTGACAACATGACCAAAGTAGGTGAGACGAAGTCTGACCATTCTCGCTTTCAAGGATCATTCCTGCTACACTTCCTCCAGGACTCCTTTTAGCAGTCCATGGTACTTTCAGTATTCTTCGCCAGCACCACAACTCAGAAGCATCAACTCTTCTTTGGTCTTCCTTATTTATTGTCTAGCTCTCACATGCATACGAGGTGATTGAAAATATCATGGCTTGTGTGTCAGGCGCACCTTTGTCCTTGGGGAGACATCTTTGTTTCTCAGCACTTTAAAGCAGTCCTTTGCAGCTGACTTGCCCGTGCTGTACGTCATCTTGACATCCTGACTCCTGCTTCCTTTGGCATCGATTGTAGAACCAAGAATGTGAAGTCTTTGACAACCTCAATCTTTTCTCCATTTATCATGATGCTGCTTATAGGTCCAGTTGTGAGGATTTTTGTTTTCTGTATATTGAGATGTATCCATACTGCAGACTGTGTTGTATTCTTCAGTGTTCATCAGTAAGTGCCTCAAGTCATCCTCACTTTCAGCAAGCAAAGTTGTGTCATCAGCATATTGCAGGTTGTTAATGATTGTTTCTCTAATCTTGATGCCACATTTTTCTTCATATAGTCCAGCTTCTTGGATTAGTTGCTCAGTGTATAGATTGAATAAGTATGGGGAAAGGATCCAACCTAATGCACTCCCTTCTTGATTTTAAACCATGTAGTGTTCCCCTGTTGTGTTTGAACAACAGCCTCCTGGTCAATGTACAGGTTCCTCATGAGTACAATTAAGTGTTCTGGAATTTATATTCTTCTCAATGTTATCCACAATTTGTTATGATCCACACAATCAAATGCCTTTGCATAGTCAATAAAACACAAGTAAACATCTTTTTTATATTCTTTGCCTTGAGCCAAGATCCATCTGACAGCAGCTATGATATCCCTTGTTCCATGTCCTCTTTTGAATCCAGCTTGCACCCCTGGAAGTTCTCTGTCAGTATACTGCTGCAATCATTTTTGAATTATCTTCAGTAGGATCTTACTTGTGTGCAATATTAATGATATTGTTCAATAATTTCCACATTCTGTGGGATCACCTTTCTTTGGAATGGGTACGTATATGGATCTCTTCCAGTCAGTTGACCAGGTAGCTGTTTTTCAAATCTCTTGGCATAACCGAGTGATGCCTCCAGTGGGGCATCTGTTTGTTCAAATATCTCATAGGTATTCCGTCAATTTTTGGAGCCTTGTTCTTCGCCAGTTCCTTCATTGAAGCTTCAACTTCCTCCTTCAGTACCATTGGTTCTTAATCATATGCCACCTCCTGAAATGGATGAAGATCTGCCAGTTCTTTTTGGTACGGTGACTCTGTGTATTCCTTCCATCTTCTTTTGATGTTTCCTGTATCATTCAATATTTTGCCCATAGAATCTTTCAGTATTGCAACTCGAGGCTTAAATTTTTTCCTTAGTTCTTTTCAGTTTGAGAAATGCTGAGAGTGTTCTTCCTTTTTTGGTTTTCTAACTCCAAGTCTTTGCACATTTCATTATAATAATTGGCTTTGTCTTCTCTAGCTGCTCTGAAATATTCTGTTCAGCTCTTTTATCTTTTTGTTTCTTCCATTTGCTTTTGCTACTCTCTGCTCAAGCACAAGTTTCAGATTTTCTTCTGACATCCATTTTGGTCTTCTCTTCTTTTCTCCTTTTAGTGACCTCTTGCTTTCTTCATGGATGATGTTCTTGATGTCATCCCACAGTTCTTCTGTTTTTCCGTCATTGGTGTTCAGTGCATCAAATCTATTCTTTAGATGGTCTCTAAATTCAGAAGGGATATATTCAAGATCATATATTGGCTCTTGTAGACTTGTTTTAATTGTCTTTAACTTCAAGTTGAACTTGAATATGAGCAATTGATGGTCTGTTCCAGAATCAGCTCCTGGCCTGGTTTTGGCTGAAGATACTGAGTTTTCCATCACCTCTTGCCACAGATGTAGTCAGTCTCATTCCTGTGTGTTCCATCTGGCAAAGTCCACATGTACAGCCACCGTTTTTGTTGTTGAAAAAAGGTATTTGCAATGAATAAGTCATTGGTCTTGCAAAATTCTGCCATGTGATTTCCAGCATTATTTCTGTCACCAAGGCCAAATTTTCCAACTACTGGTGATTCTTCTTTGTTTCCAACTTTTGCATTCCAGTCACCAGTTATAATTAACACATCCTGATTGCATGTTCAGTCAGTTTCACTCTGAAGTTGGTAAAAATGTTCAATTTCATCATCTTGGCTTTAGTAGTTGGTGCATAAATTTAAGTAATAGTCATATTAACTGGTCTTCCTTGTTTGTAGGTTTATGGATATTAGCCTATCACAGACAGCATTGTACTTCAGGAAAGATCTTGAAACATCCTTTGGGATGATCAATGCCACGCCATACCTCTTCAAATTGTCATTCCCAGCACAGTAGATGATATGGTTGCCTGATTCAAAATGGCCAAAACCAGTCCATTTCAGCTCACTAATGACTAGGATATCAATCTTTAGGCTTTCCGTTTCATTTTTGACAACTTCCAATTTTCTTAGATTCATGCTTCATACATTCCATGTTCTGGTTATTAATGGATGTTCACAGCAGTTTCTCCTCAATTTGAGTCATAGCATGTCAGCAAACTGAGGTCTGGAAAACTTTACCTTATCCATATCAGTAAGGCTGGTTTCACTCTGATGATGCTGCTCTTTCCCAGTCATATTTTGAGAGCCTTTTAATTTAAGTGGCTCATTCTCCTGCTCTGTTTTGGACAATATTTCTGGGCTAGTCATAAAATTGTGCAGTAATGTATCAGACAGTGTTTCTCTGCTATTCCTAAAGTTTCCCTGGCCAATTCTTTGAGAAGTAGATGTCCTCTTCCTTCTTCCTAGTCTATCTCAGTCTGCAAGCTGTGCTAAAACCTGTGCACCATGTGAAATCTGTGCACCATGTGCACCCTGCTGAGTTTGAAAAGCCAGTTGTATGGCCTCAAGCCTTACAGCAACAGAGGCAAGTCTTATCTCTCTCTGCCAGAGGAAAGAATGGTAGGGATGTATTTAGACTCCTGTTTTTGTGTCTTGTGCCTTT